CTCTCATTCTTTCTCTTTCTCTTTCTCTCTTATGCATACAATGTCCCACGGTTAGTAACGGACAAGCTTGTACACATCCTCCCCACTTATCGAAGACTCTTGCCGGAAAAATTGCGATCTAAGGCTACAAGTTTTTCCTTCCTCGTGGTAAAGACCCCGTTGATGAGGAGTACGAAGAGGTAACGCGGGTTGAGGGGGCTTTGTCTAAGTAAAGAAAAAGAAAAAGAAAAGAAAGAGAGAGAGAGAGAGAGAAAGAGGGGTGCTGTGGATGTAGAAGAAGTCAGAGTTCATTGACACTAAATGCATAACACCTCTTTTTCTTGACTCGTGATCGAGAACTCTAGCCTCGTTTTTTCATTTCAATGTACGAACAAATTTATGGGATTCAGAAAGAGAGAGAGAGAGATAAAAAAAAGAATAAGAAAAATGATAAGAAATAAATACGTACAAAATCATATGATCATATGATTTCTTGGAAAAAGAAATAAATATATAAAAAAAAGTTAAAAGATTTGTAATTTTATTTCGGAATATGAATTAGGGAATACCCCCCTATCGCATGTATTTGGAAACTTGCATAAGCGTGTATGCATGTATGTATTGTAGTATCGTATAGAGACGAGATTTAGTTTGTTACCAACCGCGAGTCTAACCGAACCGTAACCAAAGTGATTTCTTTCTCGCGGGAATACATTTCAAGGTACGTGGATATATGCAGGAAGCGACAGTTGGCACGAAAGATTTTAGCATATGTTGAGATCACTCGAGAAACAAGAACAGAAAACACGTGCATCGTTCGTTCGTTTGAAAGAACGAGAATGAATGAATATGCATTCCATTCATGGGAATCACTTTCTTTTCTTTTTTTTTTTCCTTTTTTTTTCTATGTCGTTATTCCATCAGTCGTTTTAATTAATCGTCAAAGAATTTTTTTTACATTGAAAATAAATGACAAATTTTGTATAATACATTTGACGTACTAAAATACTAATGAATTGTCAAAGTAAAAAATGTTACGAATTATTTCAAATATAAATTCGTATTAATTATTAACGAACGAAAAAGATCGATCATTAATTATGAAAAATAAAATAGATATATAATTTAAACCATATACCATAATATTGTAATAAATAAATAAAACATTTTTCAACGAGTCGCGAGCAACGTATACAACAATACGTGCATATAATACGCATATCGAAATGATATTACATGAATTTCATTGGAATTTTAATCAAACACAAAGTTTGCATATGATTAAGTATTGAAACAAAACGACCTTCCATAAATACGACGAATACGATTAGCTAATATCTTAATGCATTGCGGAAGGTTAACTTAGAAATGCAAACTAGCGCATGAACAAATAGTTCATTTGTTATCATTCACGTTTCTAAGATACAACGAGGTAAAACTATTCGTAAACGATAATTAACGAATTTGTTTAAATTCAAATCAAATGGTTAAACAATATATACATCGATCAATAATTAAGAATAATAATAATTAAATCTATTTGCTATACGTACGTACGTGTATTCGTGCGAGCGTTCGAAATTCGACTGTGAATTTATTGTTAGATCCGAATATTTTTTATATTTAAATAAAATAAATTGAAATATATGTGTAAACAATTATAAACGTCGATCGATAATTTTCAATGAAAACAAATTGAAATAATAGGAAAACTTTGATGAGAAATAACGACCAAAAAAGGAAAAAAAACTCTAATAGAGAAACAAAAAAGAAATCCTAGTATGAAATCCTTGAAATTTTTTTATACTGTTTGACCAGTATAGTGGTCATATTGTTTGTTCTTCTTCTGGTTAGTAACGGTCCTTCCGTTCTTACGTTAATATTAATCAGGTATACGTTTTCTGCCCGAGAATCTTATTTATGCTAGTCACATGATCGAATCATGAAAGACTACAGTGGCAACGTTTGTCAAGTTAAGGCCGAAGTTGATTGGTGGAAACTGGTCAAGGTTTATTCTCTTATAAACATCAATTACAAACAAAACAAAAAAAAAAACAAAAAAAAAATAACAAATAATAACGTATGAAAATAGTTAACAATTGAAATTGTATTAATATCGTTCTTTTGTAAATTTAATTTATGTGAGAAAAATGAGAGAAACATAAATGACAAAAAAGATAAAAAGGCAGGTGTCGCGAAGAGAAACGAAAAGAAGGGAAAGGGAAAGGGACACGTAAAAGACAGAAAGTCGTTCCAGGTTTGTGAACCTCGAGCGGATTTAACAGGCGGAAAAGCTTATGCAGAATTTCGAGGCATCACATTTCCTCGACAAATCGTAAAGCGGAACATCCGATTCTCCTCCCTCGTTCTCTTTCTAGAACGGTAAGTTCTCGTGCCGGTATTTATTTTCTCGCATGGAAGCCGTTAAAGAAGGAGGAGTATAGTTAAAGATGGAAGTAGGACTCCTGGCATTTCTTTCTTTTTTTTTTTTTCGATAGGTCAACGGATTTAAATGAAAAATCAATTGATTCGTTTTCATTTTTAATTTTTTTTATTGTGTTTTCAATTGTTTTTAATTGCTTTTAATTTTTTCATTAAAACCCGCGAACTAAAATAATTTATTTTTGTTATTTGAATGATATATTCCAGGCTTTCATATTTTAATATAATTAATATTCGATTAGTTTTTATAGTAGATCACGTATTTATTTTTCTAGGGATATAGAAAATTAGGGTTACCGTTACTTGGTATTATAGTCGTTAAATACAACAACAAAATATTCTAATCGTATGCAAATTACATCTATGATCATTATTTCTATGATACTTCTATATATCCCTTTTATTTCGATTCTTAGTATTATAAGACAAAGAATCTATCAAATAAAAAGTATCATACGAGACATGAGAAATAAAAGTGTCGTGTCAAGTGTTCTCATTGTATATCGAAACAATAAAACGTATGACGCATTCATTGATATTCCGATCATTTCGAAGAATCGAAGGACGTTCGAAGTATCGCTACGGTTTTAATGTTTAAAAAGAAAAATTACAAATATTTCTAGGTATATAGAGTGTATATATATTATTTTTATAATATATATAATCATTTGTAAAAGTAGAACAGCACACGGAAAAGAGTCAATATTTTTTTTCTCGACAATCGTGTGCAACCGTATTTTCTAGGTGACGTTTTGCGTTACGATACACAACATGCACGAGATTGTGATAAAAAAAAATACACGCAAAATGTATCTTTCTTATTTAATCAGATTCAAACTGATTCAAGACCTGATTCAAGACCTGATTCAATTGGAATTGCACACACACGCACACATTTGTTAGATTTTTTTTGATAAAGAACTTAAATTAAATATTGAGAACAATCAAACGAGAAATCCTTAATTATTTAACAGTGCGATACTTCTGGGAAATTGAACAATTTATAAAAATTGCTTTTTATATAAAATAATTTCTTATTGTTGAATTTATGAAAGTTCAACGATACTTTTTTTCTGGTCGTCCTAGTAATTTCTTAGAAATTGGATAAACATCGATAGAGGATGATCCTCTCTAGCGAACTAAAAAGAATAAACGGAAAAAGAAAAAGAAAAAGAAAAATAAAAAGAAGTCGAAGAAGAAGAGGAAGAAGAGTCGAAGAAGAAAGAAAAATAAGAGAAAGAAAACTGGTAACGTTTCCGTGAGAAGGAAGAAAGAAGAACTCGATAGAGAATGGCGGGAAGTTGTATTCTACAGGATTCTCACACAACTTATTGTTAAAAAGATAAAATGTCTAACTATAATGGAATACAAATAATTACTAGAATTTATACTTTGAACAATACCTATTAGAAAGAATCTGTTATTTAACAAAATAATCTAAACAATATTATTTTCAATTTATATTCCTATATACTTATAAATATTCTCTAATTAATCGTTTAATCAATATTAAATATTAAATTTCAATTAATTTTGCCAATCCTATATAGAAAACACATTGTGACTTATCTTATTATATATTAAAATTCTAATCTTTGACAAAATGCATATGTATATATATCTATACACCATACTAAAAATAGTTTCATTGAAAGGACGTTGTAGCAAAATCCGGTGTGATTTCTCGACCGATAAATTCGCATCGTAGGACGAACGAGCATCTATACATACACCTACATAATAATACGTGCATACATAAATGCAATATATATACTTACACGCACACTCGTATATATATATATATATTGCACACATAAATAAATGCATATATGGAATAAAACGGTCTGTTAACGGACACTCGCGCATGCGTGCAACAGAGCACGGTTAGTTCGCAATGAGAATCTAGGCTAGTTAGCTGCAACCGGGATGCAAGTGACTAGTGGTCTCACCTCCTAGGCCAGTTGCACTTGGTTCTTCTTACGTGCTGTACAAGAAAGAAAACAAATTTACGGACAAAAATTCTCTTCAATTATAAATGTGAACTTATAATTGTGTCAAGTGTACGTGAGAGAAATTTATTTATTTTCTACATAGAGAGATAAACATATGTTTATATTATACATTATAATTATTTTTTTATTTTATCGCAAGATCCGTGCAAAATTATCGATACTTCCTAAAATCAATTTTTTCTTATGCTTCCGAATCGGATTGATATTATTGAGAACTTATTGTTTCAAAAGGTATTAGAAAGATTTCATTTTATTTTTCATATTTGTAATAATTTATATATATAATATAATAATAATTATATATAAATATAATAATAATTTATATATATATATAATAAAATATATAATGAAGAAATATAATAGGAATCAAAAAATTGGCAATAAATTTTAATCGATTGTTTTGCACGCATCTCACTCACCGCTATCACAAATCATAAACAAATGCTTGAAGAATAAAAGTCGATTAATGAACAATCAAAAAACAAAAAAATAAGAAAATAGATTTATATCGATAACATAAGAAAGAAAGAGAGAGAGAGAGAGAGAGACTTGTTCTGGTTATCGATAGTCGTGCGAATGCAGTATAGCAAAACGATATCTCGTAGTTCGCAATGCATCATTCCACGCATGCGTAGAAATCTAAAAGGCACCCCAGCTGAGTTTAGTTTACGTCCACACCCCCGAACGACGAAGACTATGTCTGCCTATCGATCGTCTTGCTAATATTATACTCGGGACATTTAATTCTACGCGAGACACCAAAGACGCCATACTCTAAACAAAAAATTCGAGATCATTCAATATTATCGTCATGTGATATTTAAAACATCGTGTGTTCGTTACTTTCTTGCGATTTATCTTCGTTTAATTTGTTTATTTAACGATGAGAGACATTAACAATAAGTGAGTACAATTGTTAATTAATATTAATCGTTATTAAACGTAATATCTTATGATTATTTTTAATTGATATATTCATTGAATAAGATGATTGAAAAGTTGTGTTCGTAGGATGTGTTGATTACTTTGCGAATTAGATTGCGTTTAATTGAAAGACAAACAAGATGGGTTGCTATTTATAAGTTATTATTATGCAATTATGCGAGTAATATCGTCATCATTTTTATTATCTACCAATTTTATACGAGATTATATATAGGGTTGACAAGTTTTAAATCTAAATAAAAAAAATTGAGTTTGTATAGAAAAAATATTCCATGTTAAGCTCAAAACTTTTGAACCCATATTCACGTATATCAGATTTATAATTTAAATATAGATAATAATTGTCACAAAAAAATATGTATAATAAATTAATATTGAATATTTACGATATATATATATATTTGTAATAATCTATAACTATTTATTTAAAAAAAAAAAAGAAAGAAAGAGTTTATTATTTTTAATGAAAAATTGTTTAAAAAACGAACAGTGCAATAATTGCAAATAATAAATGTTTGATTTATTAACGTTAATTGTTTGAAAGTAAACTTTGAGTATATAATGAATAGAATAATACGAAAGATGCAATCTGTGTCTCTCATTCGTTCGGAATAGTTTTCTTCATCGCGTAAAAGTAGGCCAGGGAAAGGCGTGTTGTGCACGTTCGAGCTCTCCAACTCGTACTACCTGTTCGCTAGGATATACACAGAGAAAGAGAAAGAGAAAGAACTCTTGCTTGCTTGCTTGCTTGCTTGCTTGCTTCCTTTCTTGCTTGCTTTCTTGCAGAAATAAATGCACGAGTAATTCTCAGCCATTCAAATCTTGACGATATGCTGTTAATATCAAGAACTGGTTTTCTCTTTAACCACATTATCGCGTCTGTTTAGAAAAAATTCTATCATCAAATAATTGAACTCAAAGAAATAAACCAAATCGATATATTATAAACTGATCAAACAAATTAAATCTTATGCAAATGTTCGATTAAATAAAATGAAATCGTTTGGTAAATGTATTCTAAAATGTGTCACGCAAACGTATCACAGAATATACTGAATTTTAAATAAATCAATGATACTATATAATAATCCATTGAAAAAAATTACTAAATAAATTCTATGTGAAGGATACTACGATAAAATGAGATATTATTTCTAATGAAAAATTTCAAATGAATGAATATGGAAAACGTTAAATTATTGAATAACATAGTAAACGTATACAGGTGCACGAGGATACGATCAGAGAGAAAAATACAAAGAATATCATTATCGTTAAAGTACTACGTGTATGTAGAAATGAAGGTTCATTCGATAGGTATTAACTTTGATGATATACTACTGGGAATAATCTACGTGATATCAACTTATTAAGAAATAAGTGATATGAGAAAGAATGGGAAAAGATAAAGGCAGAAAAGGGATACTTTGCTATCGAATTTATTCAACGTGTGATTGATGATGATTGATTCATGAACGTTCTCATTACTATTTTATAAGGACAATATAAAACAAATAAAGATAAAAATTAAATTAAGAAAAAGAAACGAGTAAAAGAAAGAGAGAGAGAGAGATCATTGAAAAAACGTTAACACGAGCACCGTAAAATGTCGTGCAACCATAAACGGCTCGGATGCATATTGTAAAGCTCGAGCAGGTGCATATATTCTCTCTCTCTCTCTCTCTCTCTCTCTCTCTCTTTCTTAGATTATATTCTTCTCCTCTTCTCAATCTCATCCCTATTTTCTCGCAAGAGAGTACGAGAGTGTACTACTACTCTTCTTTGTCCGATTGGCGATCTCTTCTTGTACCTTGTTCAACGAGAATTACGATCATACCGGATTCTCCTTACGACTGACTTAAATAACGTCAAACAAGAAAGATTGTCTCTCTCTCTCTCTCTGTATCTAACAATAAAAAAATAAAAAAAAAAAAAGAAGAAATGAGAGAAATGACATTACAAGAATATCCTCGCGAGACGAATATCATTTGCGAATTAAAAGCAAACAAAAGTTCTAACCGTTATTATTTTTTATTCGTCGAATTAATTCTATGAATAAACGAGCTTTCAAATCGTATAAATAATATAAATTCGATTAATAATTAAAATCAAAAATAATTAAGAATTAAATCGATAAATTCGATTATAAATCGTATAATAATATAAATGAATAATATAAATTCTTACACAAGGCTAGAGTAAATTACTAACAATTAACCAGTGTGTGTGTGTGTATAGATCATTTCACCGAAACGTGCGGTTGTTGGTTTCATACCGGAAACAAACTGCATTCCAACACATCCGAGCAACGGCACATTAGTCAACAATGCCAACAGTCTTCTTCCATTTTTCTCTCTCTCTCTCTCTTTCTTTCTATCACACACGCGTACACAAACATTTAAAAAATACAACTTAGAAAGGAAAGGAAAGAAATAGAAATACACGCATACACGTTGATCTTTACGTTGGGTTGTTTACAAAACATAAACGAAGGAAGGAAAACACCCGCGTGTGTGGCGCGTGTCGAGTCACTGATTAGCGGACAGCTTTTAAACAAGCCAGGAGTCGTGCACATGCACTCTTGCTTGCTAGTGCATTGTGTATCTAACTACCAACGATAGAAAAAGAAAATGACTTTTAAACGATACTCCTCGTCGTCGTCTCTCTCTTTCTCTCTCTTTCTGTGTGTGTGTGTATGTGTGTGCTCTCTTATCGATTGTTGCCACGAACTAGAGAAACGATGGAATGGAAAATAATGGAAAATAATAGCAGAAGAAGAAGAAAAAAATAAAAATAACAAACTCCTGTGTTTTACATTGCTAACATTTCCTTTTTATAAACCCTTTTAAAACACTTTATATATATATATATACTGTTTCCCCCTTGTTGATTCATGACTGAATGAATGAATGTAAAATAAGGAAGGAAAATAATGAAAAATGATTGTACGAAAAAATGGATGTAGTTTAGAATTAGAATTAGTTTTTTGAAAAAGTATTTTTATCGAATATAATGTGAATGACAACAAATCTTGAATGAAATTCTTTTGTTGGAAAATATGTTTAATAAGTATTCGACTAATTGTATGATATTTTGTTTTGTTTTTTAATTTTTTTTTTTTTTTTTTTCTGAATGTTACAGGGCTCGTCTGACGATGCAAGATAGGAACGTTGACGTTCAAGAAGGCATAAGATTTCGGAGCGTTTGCAGAAGACTCTTTCAAGAGGAAGAAGAAATAGAAGGTGGTCCAAGGCGTGATTTAAACACTGGCAACGAAGACAACGTTGTTAATTGTTTCTTCGAGGAGGCTCGCAAACATCGAGAAGAGGTTAACGAAATCTTATCAAAATCTAATTGAATAGTATATCATCGAAGAAAAACGAAAAGAAAAACAATTTCAATTTTTTTAATATTTTAACTATAATTCCGATCACGTTCCAATTTGTTATCTTTCTATTTATCAAACACAAATCGTTAATATAATATAAATCGTTAAAGGGCACACCTAGTGTGACCGCCTAAAAAAAAGGTGATTTTTGGGAATTTTTTTAAAGAAAACTACTGCATGAATTATTTTTAAATTTAGAGGATAGATTTATACATAATTAACGAATATTCACTAAAATTTTCAAATGAAAAAAGATAATTTTCAGCGAGTTATTCGCTATCTCTTAAGTCACTAAAAAAAAGGGCCTAAACGGCTACAGTGATTCCGGCCTTCACCGTGGATGAAATAAAAAATAAAAAAATACTATTAATCTAGGAGGTATTGTCTATACCATAACCTAAAATTGTGAAAAAAATTGAAATTTAAAAAAATGGCAGACTTTTAAAAAAAAAATCGAATTTTGCTCAAAATTTTGATGATTTTTGGCCCGCCAAAATTACATTTTTCATACAATCAAAAAACTTTGAGGTCATTGTACAGAGAAACATATACGAAATAAGCAAAAAAAAAATCAAAACGATCGGATGATTCTTCTTCGAGTTACAACTGCAGCCAATTTGAAAAATGTAGTTTTGAGAGAAACGCGTTCAAAGATAAAATGATTGCTTTTTAATCCCTGACCGGCTACTATTTAGAAGACTGTAATTCTATAACTATTTAAAATATTAATTTGAAATTTCAGTATGTTATTTTTAAAGATATAGACTATCAAAATATGCAAAAAGAAAAAAATCAATTTTTTCAAAATTTCACACTAGGTGTGCCCCTTAATATACTATTATTAATCATTCTAAGAAATCAATTATTATATTTGTTATGACAGGCGAAAAAAAAATGGAACTTCGATTTCGAAAAGGAAATACCTTTGGCAGGAAATTACCAATGGGTAAAACTCGACCGTGATGGAAACGAAATTCCAACGAACGCGGAAGTACGAAACAAAACTGAGAAGATGGAAAAAAATGAGATGGACGAGTTGGGGCAGTTAAAGGAAGACGAGGTGAAGGAAAATAAAAACGAAGAGAATGAAGAGGAGGTACCTCCGGAAGGGAAAGAAGTTGATGCGGACGATAAAACTGAGTCGAGAAGGCAAAAAAATCGAAGTCATTCTCGCATCGTCGACGTTTTATGATGAACTACTCAACTGCGAAAAATGAACCACCGTGATATTACTCGTATTTCTAAGAAACAGAAAGAAAAGGAAAAAACGACAAATTGAAAAGAGAAAACATTTCTTTTTCTAAATTTTTATAATTGCTACTAATATTTTTCAGTAATTAACCAAAATTAATAATATATATATATTGATATTAAAGAATGGGTAAAGTATTCTTTTTTTTAATTTTTATAGAACCATTTTTGTAATTATTATTATTATTATAATGTTGTTTTGTTTTTAATTAACACGGCGACTGAAAATTATTTATAAATTTGACTGAGAATATTAACACACACACACACACACACACACACACACACACACACATACAATTTGTGAGTATATTTCTTATTGTTATATTTATTTATTTATTATATTATTATTTTATGTGGTTTCTTCTCTCTTGTCAGCTAAGTTCTAGTCAGAACCAATGCGATGATGTCTATTTATTTAAATACGACCAAACGATACCAAAGTGAAACAATTTGTAAAAAATTTCTTCTTCGTTATTTTAATTAATTGGAAATTAACTTGGGAACTTTGACAATTTTTTCTTTCTTTTTTTTTCTTTTTTTTTTTTTAAATTTTTTACACCCTAGAATATATAACAAGAAAAAAAAAATAAAATGATATTATTTATATTATGTATTTTTTAAATTTTAAGTCACACGCATAGATAAGTGACATTATTTATAATTCGATATACAAATGTATTTATTCTAAGGGTAACGTGCAATAATATACGCTACTCTCTTTACAACCATTAATATTTATATATAATATATACTTTAAATAAATGAAAAAAAATTAATAATTTTGTACAAGACACGTGGTAGATAATTGAAAAAGAAAAAAAACATACCTATGATGTGTATTAAATGATGTTTCTACAATAACAAATTATATAAAAAAAAATATATACGTATATATTTCTGTGAAATTCTTTGAAGTCAATATCGAATCCTTTTAAACAAAAAAAAATAAATCACCTAAAATTTCCTTTAAAAATATTCTAACTCTAAGACAGCTAACCCAACGTTTGAATGAAGTTGCCCCCATAAGCAATATGTGGTTAACTCGACCCACATAAATGGTACAACACATCGAAGCACATCTCTAGGAAGAGGAAAGCTTTATGAAATGTTTACGCCTTGGAGGAAGACACGAACGGCAGATGTTTCATCTCGTCTATTCGCTAGAGTAAAAGAGATAGAGATATTACAGAAGGAAACATGAAATTAGGTCGTGCATAACTCGCGTGCAATAGGCTGATGCTGGAGATGCACGTAACTTAAGGGGTTACATGGGTTTACACCGGGAAAAAATAGCATATTTTCAACAATTTTTTTTTTCTATATAAAAAATGGAATTCTCATTCAAACTTTTGATAGTATTTAAGATACATATTTAAAGAACATTTTCTGAATTTTTAGTTGAAAAATATTTTAAACTCAGTCATTGCAACGTCATTTCCGGTGACCCCACCGAAAAAAAGTGTTTTCGCGTTGACAGCAGAACTTATAAACGGTGGGGGTTTTTCTGTTGAAAAAATAGAGTCTTTTARTGAATACTTAAAACTAGAAACTGGACGAAGGAAAAAGAAACAAATTGAAATTTGGATTTTTGGCAACGTTTTTAGCAAGAACATTCAAATTTCGCTACAATTTCCACCACATTTTGGTTTCTTAAAATTCGATTTTATGAAAAAAACGAAAATCCTTTGTCCAAATCCTTGTCAATAGTATCACGAAGACGTGTAACAAATTTCATGAAAATCGGTTAAATAGTTTTCGAGAAATCTTGACAACCGATTTTAGAAAAAGGGTTTTGAGAAAAACGCGTTTAAAGATTTGAGTGCTGGTATAAGAGCCATTAAAGAGTGAAACTTCCCAATGCTCTATCTTTAAAACTACTACTCCTATCGACTTCAAAATTGAATTCAATATTCTAGATGAGTTGTAGAATTTAAAAAGATAAAAAAAAAATTTTTTTGGAAGTCCCAAACCCATGTAACCCCTTAAACATCAACCAACCAATCAAGCGCTGCCCCTTTTTCTTGTCTCAAAACACGATCGAGTCAATATTTAAATAATTTTAATTCATCAATAGCGAAAAATCAAACACTAATCAAGATTTAACCCGATAAAAATATTATTTAATTAACCTGATCACAAAAGAGAAAAAGAGTAAAACTATTACCCGAGATGAACCATAAAAAAGATATGCAATCCTCATAATACCCTCATGAGTCATGATCAAGACTTAACAATCCTATTTACCAGTATACACCTTGCACAGAGTTAAAAAAAAAAAAAAAAGAAAGAAAAAAGAAGAAAAATAAGAAGAAAAAGAATAAAAAGAATCTTGAATTCCACGAGTATCAAGATATCTTCGGATTAATCCGAATTCCTCCTCGTGAGAAGGGGCAAAAGAAGCACGCACCTGGCGTCTCCTTCTTAAGGATCGCTTTTTACACGTTGCACGTGAGCCTGTTCAAACGAACGAATTCGTTCGTCGTGTCGGTTAGCAGCAATGCTACTGCTGCTGCTGCTGCTGATGTTGCTGCTGTTGCTGTTGCTGCTGCTGCTGCTGCTGCTGATGATGATGATGATGATGATGATGATGATGATGATGATGATGATGATGATGGTGTATTGGTAGTGGTAGTGGTGATGGTGGAACTGGTAATAGAACTGGTGTGTACCCATTGCCAGAAATTGCACTTCCGTTCCGCAAATTCCCACGGAAGTGGGCACAATCACCGTGACAAAAGGATATTCGCGTACACCACCACCAACACCACCACCGACCACCACCGACCACCATCGACCACCACCACAACCAGTATCACCATCACCACCTTTCATTGTTCTCGCTCGAGAACATTGAGAATCCTTCTACGAAAAATTTTCGCGAGGGTGGGTTGTTCTGTGCCGTCAAAATAGAAAAATAAAGAAAAGGAGAATCAAAACACATATTCATAATACTGATATAGAATTTGTTGCTTTAATATTCCTTTAAAAACATCTTTATCTCTCTTTCTGTCTATTATGTTTTAAGCAAAAAAATAATACAATTAAAATACAAATATATAAACATGAGTATTGGACGCGACGATAAAATACCAAAAAGAATAATAAAAAAAAAAAGAAAAAGAAGAATAAATAAATGCAACAAAAGTTAAATTTGTTATCTTGTTAAATCGATTTAATCGGAGTTTTTCGAGAAATAATCTAAAAGCAAACACATACGAATCTTTAGAAATATATTTGAACGTTGTACGACACCTTTTCCTTCTTTTTTCTTTTTTTTCCTTTTTTTATGCAATTAAAATTGTCAAACCTTATCATAAATTTGATAACGCGCATTGGCTCACCTACGCATACACTCACACACAAACACACATACACGGAGAGAAAAGAAACGTTCTATTCTTGAAATCAGAATACAGGTGAGATCTTTTGAAATGCAAGCAATGAAATGCAAGCAGTCATTGCAATTATCAAGTAACGTTCTTCCGGGTTGATTTTCGTTATCGCGCGAAGAGCTCTCCTTGTTCCTGGAAACCTTAATCTCAAGTAGACGTACATAACTATAAAAGTATATACACAAGCATATATGTGCACGAGCCACATACTTGACGATAATCAAACAAAAACACAGCACGTTTTCGACCATCGTTCTTAACACGCAGCAGGAAGCAAAGCACCTGCTGCTGCTGCTGCATCAAAAACAACGTTACAATTGTTTCAAAGAGTACTGCTGCGTATACAATCGATTAAATTCTCGATTAAATTCTCGATTAAATTCTCGATCGATCCTAATCGTCTGTAATTAACACGCTTATGCAATTAGATTTTCAAAATATCACTCAATCAAAATTAATCGTGCGGAAAAATTTGAAATTCATTATATCACGTTAAAGTTTAAACACGTAAAAATCCAATATACACATGTTATTGCATATATATGTAAATATACAGTATAATATATTGAAACAATATTAAAAAATTCATTTCCTAATCTCTTTTTCGTAAATCTACGTCTATTATAAATTTTTTGTAAAGAACACTTGACGCGTCGGCAGGTTCACTTGATGGAATTTCACCTTTCCATACCATACAAGTGTACGGCATGCAAAACTCAGCATGTAAAAAGCAAATTAGGGTATTGAAAAAGAGGTACGCAAAAGCTGAGAAGGATTGTTTTACGCGCGTACTCATTCGCTCGTTTCCTCTTCATTGAGATGCATCCGGTGCCACCCTCGCTCTGCTTCCTGGATGCTGCGTGGGATTTCTTTCTTTCTTTCTTTCTTTTCCTTTTTTCTTTTTTTCTTTTTTTTTTTTTCTTTCTTTATTATAATTATTTTTATTTTTTTTTTTTCAAGGACACATGCATTAAAACAGCATGAGAACATGAGAATCGTTCCCTTGATTCCACAGTTTATTAAATTATATATAAATATTGTTAAAATATTAATTATAAATCATTTTGGTCTTTGTTTCAATAATTACAATTACAAGTATGATATAAATTAAAAGAAAAAGAAAAAGAAAAAGGAAAGCTCGTTGAACCAAACACTTGACTAAAGCGAAACTTCACAAGTTTTTTTATGTTGCTAATTGTATTAAATTATTAGATTATTAATTACATTAAAAGTATTTGTACATAACATACTTGAAATATTTATTTCATGTGTAAACATACATTTGATTTTGTAATAAATTGTTTGATAAATCTAAAGGTTTCATTTGATTATTTGAAAAAAACTAATGTGTCAGAAGGACCAAAAGAAAAAGTGAATAATAATTAAACATGTAAATAAATTTAGATTGAATTTAGGCACAGCCATTCGCCCGGTAGTACTTGCGTTACATAGTTTATTATTAATTTAATTTAAATAAATCGCAAGTAATACCGACCCAGGTCTCACCGCGAGGAGGTTGCTGTGTTCGGAGACCCCCGGGCTAAGATTCTACTTCTACATTTATTTTTCTAATTAATTCATTTCATTATAATCATTTATTAAAAAGAAATTTTCAAAAGTGCAACGCGTAAAACGAATTATTAATTTTGTTCATCCAACTTATTATTCAA